GGGGGGGTGGGGGGGGAGGGGTGGTGAGAAAAAGCTGGTAGGATTATAATTTTACAAGTTTAACACAGATCCCGGTCTCTCAGGAATAGGAGTCCTTGCTGGCACCCGGTTCCCCTGCAAACCCTCTCGTCTCACCTTTGAGACCTACTATTTTCACAGTTGGAAAGAGGCCACTGAAAGCTGCAAGTGCACTGTTATATGCACAGATTTGTATAGGTAGCTCCCATTTCCCTCTCAGCTGCTGTATCCCCTTCCTTCAGTGCTGCAGAGGAGCTCCCTTCAAGAGGAGATGAGATGCATCTGCGGGCAGCCCTACATCAGATGCCCTTGAGGGTACCTGGCTTATTTTCATCCCACAAAAACAATCAGTCCAGACCTGGACACAAACAAACACTGGCGTGTAGCGTAATGAAGGCACACAGCTGATGTAAAATGAGAACGAGACCTCACTCGGTGATGGGGCTGGGGAACAGGCAGCCTGGCAGGGCACGCACTTGCCTGTAGAGTGGAAAAGCTCCTGCCTCATTGTGCAGGAATAAATGAGGGGCCCATGCCCAGCTAGGTGTGAAAGCAGACCTGTGACTGTGCCGCCCACCCCTGTCACGTGCTGGTTTTATCTGCTATCCCGCACCGGTTTGGGACTCGCTAGTGTTCACCCCGCTTGGGGACTTTGCCTCCCCCCCCCGGGTGCTGTGTACTCACCACCCGCTTGTCCGGCACCCGCTGGGTGAACACCTTGTAGAGCCGCCAGCTTTTCCCCAGGATGGGGCCAAACACCAGGGAGGTCCCCACGCACAGCAGGCAGAGCCGCACCTGCCGGGGGGCAGAGCCAGGGGGCTGAAGGGGCAGCCGCGGGCACCGCGGGGACACCCCGCGCCCTCCCACCCAGGGACGCGGTAAAGATGGACGGGGATGTGTCTATGGCCTTCTGGCTTCTGGAGGGTCATATCGGATACCAGAAAGCTGACTGCAGGGTGAAATAAATTAAAAGGCATGTATTCCTCTGCAGGCATGCCTGCTGCCTGCCTTTTCCTCTCCACCCTGAGAGGCTGTCGTCGGAGGAGCAGGCAGGGAGAGCCAGGCAGCTTGCGAGCAGCAGGGGCACGGAGGGTCCCAGCACCAATAAATCACTCGCTGGCACCTCCGTTAATTATCCTCAGCCCAGCAGCTGAGCAGGACGGCAGAGCGTGCTCTCTCCCACGTCCCACTCTGCCACGCGGGTGCATGCCCAGTCCCTGGTCTGGCAGGGCGGCTGCCCCAGGTCAGGACACGGGGGTTCATCACACGGGCCAGTGTTTTGATGAAGATCTGCTTTGCAGCCAAAAAAAAAAACTCGCCTGCAATCTCGCGGCACCTGTGCCATGTCGGGCAGCGGCTGTGTGGAGGATCCCATCTCCCTTCAGGCTCACCTCTCCCAACTGCACTTTTACAAGGCCAGCAGCCTGCCTGCCTGCCTCTCCCCTGGGGACCTGCCTTGCCTTGTCGTCCCCCCCCGGTGCGGCTGTGGTTTGCACAAACAGCGAAAGCCATTCAGACGGAGAGCATCTGGTTGCGTTTTGGGTATGTGGAAACCACAGCCCGGCCAAACGCGCCCAGCAGCGAGGTGGCGACAGGCTGCAGCTGAGAGCGAGCACGTACAAACACGCATACACATGCACGTGTGTGGATGTGTGAAGGCACCCGTCCCAGCAAACCCCCCCCGCTCACCTGAATAAGCTTTTCCAAGTCTCCAGATGGCAGGCTCTGCTCTGGAATCCCAAAGAGGTAAGCACTAGTGTAAGTCAAGCCACTGCCCAGCAGGGTCACAATGTTCAGATTGGGGCTGGACATCTTCACGATCCTCCAGGAAACAAAGCAGGGAAGGCGGTGACAGTTACTGAGCGTTAGGACCTGGCAGCACAGGGGCAAGGTCCCCTTACAGGGATGATGACGGCCACAAGGAATGCTGACACACTGTCCCCCGCCCCCAGCCCCGGCTTTTCTCAGCTCTTCCTAAAGCTCAGCCATTGCTCCATGGTGCATACCCCATCCTCTCCATGGTGCATACCCCGTCCTCTCCCCTGTATTGCTGGAGTGCTTCACTCTCCTTAAAGTGTTCGTTCTGCCCTACCCCGGCACTCCTGTGGGACAGCGAGATCCCTTCTCCCCAAAACAGATGGGTACCAGGCTTGCCCCATGGCACCTCTACCCCCTACATGGATCTGCACCACAGAAAAGCATCCCTCAGGCAGCGTCAGGCAGCGTCTTTATGGACAAAACTGTGGGAAGCCATGGGCTTTTAGCAGCAAAGCAGACAGGGTCACCACAGGCCGGTCTCTGCTACCAGTACCTGTGCCAGGCACGCAAAGGCGTGCAGTGGTGCCAGCATGTGCTGTGGCCACACATCCCCACAGTCACGCAGGTGGCACGCAGCACAGCGCCCAGCTCAGCCCCCCAGGTTCAAGGCCAACATCTTCCTCCACTGTCCTCTGCTGTAAAGGGGCAGAAGTGGAAAACCTCGCCAACGCAGCCCGGGGTGACTGTCCCCAGCAGCAAGCTTTGGGCACAGCAGCTACAAATGACTCCAGGAACAGGCTCTTCCCACTGCTCCTCCCTTTGAGGAGATACCTCCGCCCTCGGCACAGTCTCAACTTCAGGAAGCTGCCAGCAACGTTCAGGTTACAGCTTCCCCTCTGTAATTTCACCCCATCGCTCATAATCCCGTAGCTGTATTCAGGGAGGGGAGAATCGACCCACCGATCTCTCCCGACCTGTCACCCTTCTCCAGCAAGCCCATCAAGTGAAAGCCGTAGCTCCTGCCATCCCCCCGCGTAGCTCTGTCCCTTCAATCTGCTGCTAAGTCATTGCATTTCTCTACCCTTGAGCTCCTTCCCGGCTTGCTGCCTCGCAGACGCAGAGCCTGGGATTCAACCTGGCTCTCTCCCTCCCTGCCTTCCTCGCCATGCCTCAGCCCCCGGGGAAAGATATTCATCAGCTCAGCCTCGCAGCTGCACGCTGAAAAAGGTCTCCTTTGCCCTCCCAGGTTCAGTAGGCAGACCCGTATTTATTTGCTGCAGTGCAAATAAAAAAAACGCACAACCCCTACAGCGTTGCTCTGAGAATATCTTCAGGGGCCGAAACAATTTGGTAAGCAATTAAGGTGGCCACCGAACTCAACACCACTCTGCTTCAGTAAATCAAGTGCTTGAGACCGGGGTGCAGGTCATGCAGCTACTGCACCGCAGCAGGCGCAGGGCTCAAGACAAACCCTTAGGAGCAGGACCCTCCTGGCTGCACGGCGGTTATAAGAAGCGTTAACTTAACACAACCAGAGCGCTGGAACAGCAGCAGCCTGGGCTGCACACAGATGCACCTCTACAAACCAACAGCACATGGAGCACAAAGGCTTTGGCAGGTGAAGCTTGGGAGAGGGATGGATCTCTATGGGGGAAGCAGTTGAGAGACCAATGAAGCCGAGGAGGAGGTGGCAAGGAGGTAGGTGAGACATCCAGAATCGCTGAAGAAGGCTAAGAGCTGGCTGAGACAGTTTGAGCTATGAGGAATCACTGAGCCTTTTGCTTGATTTATGCTGCATTCAGGGGAGCAGGACTTTTTACAGCCTCTGTGCAGACTGAACAGCACCAAAGAAAGCCTGCACTTCACCAGCTTCTCTCACCAATGGAGATCATGTTCCCCACCAACATGGACAACCACCAAGATCAAAAAAAGGTTAGCAATATCTTCAAACTACAAGTGGCCCAGCAGCAGGAACCAGTGTGCACACTGTGGAGAACGTGACGGCTTTGCTCGTGGAGCTATGCTGCTCAAAGTCATGCTGTCAAGACTGCGGAGCGGAGAAGGAGATCAGCTCTCTTCCCGCTCACTCCTGTTGATGGTTTTATTGAATAGCACCTTCAGGATGAGACCATGCACCGCTGCCTGTGCTACGTTGGAGGGCATCCACGCTCTTGTCCTGTTCACAGCTCCCTGACTTGGGGAGGAAGGGAGCGGTCCAAGCAGGACTGTCTCCACCAGTGATCAACACTGGGTGTGATAGAGAAAGCTGCAATATCCCTGGCATTGCCCTTGCTTGCCCTGTACTGCCCCTTCAGGCTTGTACCCTGAAGGAGCCCGACCCCACTGCGCCAGCTCGGGGGAGGTCTCACCGCAGAAAAGGGAAGCCCTTACCTGTTTTTCCTGAAACGAATTGTAAAGACAAGAAAGAAGAGCGCTAGCAGGACTCCTCCGGTCAGGAACGTCCACACAACTCCCAGGAGAGCAGCAGAGAAGGACGGGGAGCTCTTCCCACTGCGGTCAGATGTCTGGGGGAGGCAAAAGGGATGAGAAGGAAGAGGACGTTGCTGGCACGGTCACTCCCACGAGTGCTGCTGCTCAGCCAGAAAGGACTCAAAACCACATCTCCCAAACCCCTCCTCATGAGCAGACACCTGGCAGTAGACCGAGACCCGCTGGCAGGGCTAAGGAGATGTGTGTAGAGAGGACACACACTCTGCCACTTGCTGAGTGCCCAGGAAGAGAGGGCAGTACAGGAGCGCTCTTCTTACGGCCAACTGGCCAAATACGTAATGAAACCGTACAAGTGACTCATAAACCTCAGGCAGCCCTGGTCGTGGGAGAGATTCCCCACTGTCCTTCTCTGGAAAGAAGGACCTTCTCTGGAGAAAGATCTTGTGGTACCCCAGTTTGTAGCGTGCTTCTTTGGAAAGTTGGGTAGGGCATCCTTGGCTCCCACCCTTACCCCTGCACGCAGCAGATAACCAGCCAGCCGGCTGACGTGACTGGGAGCCAGCAGCAGAGCTACCAGTCGGTGCAAAAAAACACAGAAAAGGGAGTGGGACAGCATTTTTCAGACGCGTTACGCAGTGACACACCAAGCTGGGTTCCACCCATCTCCCAGCTGACTGGAAACTAACTTGGTCCAAGGTAGACATCAGCTGAGAACTGGCTTTTGAGGGACACTCCCAAAGCGGGTATGATGGAGGCACCTCTCTCCTTGCACACAAGCGACCTCATGGTTTCAAATCTCCATTTAAAAGTATTCTCTACTATCTCCCTATTAACATAGGATGCATAAAATGATCCTATGTGAAACAAGAAACCTATTTCCACTCTGGATCTAAAATAGTCCAGCGTTTTTAACAGGGTGTGCATGTGTGGGTTTGTTCACACATACTCTGTGTGCATGTTACTGACATCTTTTTTGCTTTAAAAAAAGCATTACTTTTATTTAACTACTGGCGCATCCCCTTTAAGGAGAAGGAGGAGGACGGGGACTGAGCTGGGATCGCACACCTCCTCACTGACTCCCCTGGTGCTAAGCCCTTTCTCAGGTATTCCAGTTCACCTGCACACAATTTCTACGGCAGAAGACTATTTTCCTGACAGCTGCCACTGCCCCAAACTCCCAATTCTTCCTTCAACGCCTGAGCTGTTTCTGCTTCCAGCCTTGCTAGAAATGAATCTGCAGAGAGAAGTAAGGCAGTCGTTTCAAGCCGATGCCTTGTCTCCTTCTTCCCCAGCGGGGCTCCATCTCCTCTGGGCGAGCAAGAACAAGGCACAGCTTGGAGAATTAGAGCCAACACATAATTCTTAAAACAAAAATGTGTCACCGCCACACGAGCACAGCTGATCCGCAGGCTCCTGGCAGCTCACACGCGGGTGCCACGCTGGTCACAGGGCTGCTGGGTAAGGCAAACCCCTGGCTGGGAGAGACAGCCAGCCGAGAGCCGCCGCCGCTGCTGCGTTATGCTGGGATACAGCTGCGTGCACAGCTCAGCCCCGCTTTGCAGCGGCGGGGAGGGATCCCTGGGGAGATATTCATCTCCCTCCTGCAAACTGCTCCCCACCTCCTCTTCCGTCTCCCCATTCCCTGGGGGAGTCTTTTGGCTCTCTGGGAAATGAAGACCACACCAGACTGTGGAGATGGTCAGCCACGTCGGTTCCCCTTCCCATACACCAGGACTCGCTGTGCAAAAACCCCATCATTCAGCATGAATCGGGGCCATCTTCCCCCCTGCCTGGAGCTCAGAGGGGCTGATGGGGCTGCTCGGGGCCCGTACGAGGCTGTAACGCCATCCTATTTCTGCATTGAGCCCGAGGGCAACACCTGGCTTTTGCCAGTAAGGTGAGCAGGGTGGACTCAGCATCCCGGGGCTCCCACACTCCGCTCCCAGCTGCATCCACCAGCATTATCTTTCCACCTCTGGCTGCTGCCAAAAGCGTTACTGCACCCTCTTCCCAGTAACCACCCAGGGATCAGAAACATCCCTGTGGTCGCCACCTTTCCTTTCCCAACACCTCCCCACCCCGATCGCTGTTTCCCTGGATGTTGATGCTACTTGAAGTTGATGGAGCGCTTCATTTGCCGCTGAGCGGAGTAAATCCTGGCCCTAGCAGGGGGAATATTAATTGTAAGGCAGCTGCCAGAGCCAGAGGAGCCAAGCAGCTTATGGTCTTCTAATTAAAGGCCCATGGTTGTGCAGGCCGTGGTGGAGAGCTGAGCGGGCCAAGCCTCGCTGGTCCATCCAGCAGCCTTATGCAGAGCCAACTGCAACTAAGTGCATCCTGGTGTCATTTCCACTGGCTTAGTGGTGGGGGGGAGGTACCATTTATTACAGATGATGACTTTTAATTAAATCCTGCTCTACTCATATTTGAAAAGCACTTTGAAGTTCCAGGGGATGGGAAAGGTCAAGGGCAGAGGAGGCCATCCCAGGCCACTCCTAAGCGGCTGTCACACCAGCTGACACACGGGAGGGCTGCTTGACACGACTTGGCTGTCGTGGCTGCTTCCTCACCGTCTGCCTAACTGCTGGGTGTCACCTAGGCAAGGCTGGTCTTGGAGGCCATCCCAGGAGGTGACAGCATGCAGCCTCCGGCTGGATCGGGATTGCTTGGTGGCTGCACCCCTGTGCCCCCCTCTGCATCCCTCCACCCAAATTCTGCGGAGCAAACCTCATGCCCCAGGGCGCTCCCCCGCCTCTGTACGTACCACCGTGACAGTGCAGAGCTCCTGCAGCGCCCGCTGCTGCTGCTCCTGGCTGCCAAAACCGGAGCTGCCATCACAGAGCTCAGAGCAGTTGAATCCCAGCTCCATAGCACATCCTCAGCCGTCATCCAGCCGTACCTTTGCCCCTGCCAGAAGGATGAGGGTCGGCTTTCTCCAGCGAGAAGAAGCCTTTGGCATATGCCGGATCTCCCCCGTGTCAGCAGGGCGTAGGGAAGGTGTCTGGCAGCCCAAGGCTGAGCTTACCCAAAGCGATGCGGTGCACATCCAGAGCCAGGATGGGGAGCGCCCACCTCCCGGTGTCCCTCGGGGCGTCCTCTGCGGCGAGGTGAGTCAGCACAGGCTGCGAGTCCCCGCGTAGCACGGTGGCATCCCAAGCCCTGCTACGCCACCCTGCAAACCAACACACGCTGGGGTCACGGCGGCCCCCGGCCCCTACACCCCCATTGCAGAGCCGAAACTGGGTGCTGTGCTGGTCTGTGCCGGAGCATGGCACCCCGGCACCCCGAGGTTGCCGCAGCTTTCCTCTGCCAATGCGTTTTTCCCACACTGCTGCAATTTCAGGGCGTATCTTTGCAGGCCCCGCTCTGGCCCCGGCAGCCACTGCTGGTTTTCTGGCACGGTCCCTTCTTCCAGCAAAGAACCAGCAAGTGAAGACAACAACAAACAGCAACAAGTGTTGCCATCGCCTAATGGGACCTAAACCCCGGCCCGGGCAAGCAGGGGAGGAACACGCTTGAATGACACGTGTACCAAAGTGTTTTGGCTGGCTCGGCCCCAGAGGCAGCCCGGCTCGCTGTGGAGCGGGCTGTTTATTAAGGAGATTTAAAAGCCTGGCACCTCCGTGCTCCCCATCCCTCCCGGCGCTCTGGCTGCCAGGTATCGTCCCCGCCTGCGCCCGCTCCCCTCGCACCACCTTTGCCTCTGTTCCCTCTTTCATTTCTCTTTTTGGTGGAGATTTTAATAGGCCTCATTACCATTTTAGACATGAGGTCATACTTATCCTCAAGCATCCTTACTCAATTACCATTGTCACTGGTTTTAATTAGCTTCCAGTGCACGACCATAAGCAAGTCTCCCGTCGTTAGCAGCTGGGGAGGAAGCGCAATAGCTCACTCCCTATTTGCTCCTAACAACAGGTGGGAGGAAAAAAAATTATCCATATCATGCTCCTCGGAGCTGCTCCCCAGCCGAGCATCCCCTGCGCTTGCACCCCATGCCTGGCCGGTGCTCCATCCTTCCCTGCCGCTACTCCCGATGCTTTGATCCCCTCTCCTCACCAAGCCTTTCTTTGGAAAAACTCCCATCATTGCACGAGCAAAGAAAGAGTAAATTTAAAATGAAGTGTGGTCACCAGGACCTGGTCTGAAGCTTGCTGTTCTTTACAGGGAATAATTAGGATTCAACTGCCAGAAAAGCCACGGGCATCGTTCTCATCTTGTGTAAACTGATTTTCAGCTTCAGAGAAGTCACAAGTCCAGCCCGAACACATCAGGGTCAGCGGGCCACTCATCCAAAACTAGCAAAGCCACCTCTGGAGCAACAACCGCAACTCTCCTGCTGGCAGAAGCCCCGATGTACCGTGGGTCCGGACACCGTCCTGCCTGCGCCAGGACTGACCCCAGCGCGAGATCAGCTCACCGCATCCTACAAACACAATATCACACATTAGCCAGACTTACAATTTTACATGCACGATAGAGGTTTTTTTCAAGACCGCTGGTGCAAGCCAGCTCCATCAAGCCTCCCTCTCTCACTAGCTTGTAGCAAACCGCGGTGGTGTTTCCCCGCCGGCAGGACCACCCTCTGGAGGTTTCCATGCCCTTCCTCTCTCAGGCTGAGCAATCGGACAGGGGGTACGGCTGCAGGAGATATCCAGCTGCTGCAGCGAACACCAGGTATTGCAACAATGGTAGAAGGGCAGTGGAGAGGAGGAGACAGGCCCCAGGGGAACAGTTCAGGGATAACACTGGTAAATGAGACAGCGTGTGGAGGGGCTGCGTGCAGTGCCTGGGGATGGAGGTAGGAGAGGGGCACTGAACCTTTGATGCCGAGAAGACCTGCAGACGAGCACTGCCCAGCCCCGCAAAGGGCTCAACTCCTCCCCATGCCCCCCGGCGTGTTTAAGGACAAGGGGGTCTCCCTATAACCCCCTGTAACCTCCTGCCACGTCAGAGATGGAGCTCACCTGCCAGGTGGACCACTACCAAGGCTGGCATGAGGCCAGCAGGCACGGCCCTCCCATGGCTCACAAATGGAGACGTTTCCACAGGGAGCATCAGTTCAGCCCCCATCCCTCTGAGAAGCCACCCCTTAGCAGAGGGCAGGAGCCCCTTGGGGTCTCCCCAGCCCCCACACCACTATTCCGCAAATGGCTCCCGCGCAACGTTGATAACAAGCCGAGGCCAATTAGCGCTCATTAGTATGCAACAAAGCAAGAACAGGCATTTCCAGCCCGTCTCCCGTCTCCCGTGAGAGCCAGCAAAAATGCTGCTCCATGGCCTGGAGAGCATCCGAGGGGGACCGGTGCTGCAGGGGGTCACTGCCCTTCAGGGTGAGGTTGGGCGATGGTTGGGGAGACAGACAGCAACACAGGTAAGAAAACACATCCTTAAAATTCAAGGGTCTCTTGAGGGCAGAGACTTGTGGATTTTTGGGGGGTTGGGGTTTTTTTTAAGGCCAAAATGCCCAACAATTCTGGTGGATCACTTCTGGAGCAGAATCACAGAACGGTTTGGGTTGGAAGCGACTTTCAAAGATCATCTAGCTCAACCCCCCTGGTGTGGGCAGGGGCATCTTTCACTAGATTGGGTTGCTCAAATCCCTGTCCAACCTGACCTTGAACGCTCCTAGGGATGGGGCATCCAGAACTTCTCCAGGCAACCTGTTCCAGCACCTCATCACCCTCACTGTAAAAAACTTCTTCCTTATGTCCAACCCAAATCTACCCTCTTTCAGTTTAAAACTGTCGCCTCTTGTCCTGTCACGATAGGTCTTGGGAAAAAAGCCTTTCTCTGTCTTTCTGATAAGCCCCCTTTAAGGATCGAAAGGCTGCAATAAGGTCTCCCTGGAGCCTCCTCTTCTCCAGGCTGAACAACCCCAACTCTGTCAGTCCTTCCTCACAGCAGAGGTGTTCCAGCCCTCTGATCATTCCTGTGGCCTCCTCTGGACCTGCTCCAACAGCTCCATGTCCTTCCTCTGCCGAGGACCCCAGAGCTGGACGCAGGGCTCCAGGTGGGGTCTCACCAGAGCGGAGCAGAGGGGAGAACCACCTCCCTCGACCTGCTGGCCATGCTGTCTTTGATGCAGCCCAGGAACAGTTGGCTTTCTGGGCTGCAAGTGCACATTGCCGGCTCACATCCAAATTTTCGTCCACCAGTATCCCCAAGACCTTCTGCACAGGGCTGCTCTCAATCCCTTCATCACCCAAGAGGAGGTAGCTCTCATTTTCTGTATTTGTCACTCCAGAAACATTAGGCTCCCATTTGGGTAATTTCAGAAGAAAATTCAGCTCCTAGAAAGAGGAAGGGAAAGGCTGAGGGCATTAACACCTCCTTGTGCTCCTGTTAGCCTGAACATCACGAGGGAAAAGGGAAGGCAAAGAGCGATGCCGACTGTAAGTGGAATTTACTGTCATTTGATTTTCAAACAACAGATGTGAGGGAACACCACGAGAGCAGTTTCCGACAGCCCACACACCCTGTGGAAGCAGTCACAGCATCAGGTAAAGCAAAGCCCTTGCTCGGCCTGCTGGCTCTGCTTGCCTTGTTCTCCTCCCCTTGCTGCCCTCGGTCTCTGTGGTATTACATCTGCCAGCTGGCTGGGTCATAGCGGCTAATATTTGGCCTTGGCTGAGCATCGGTTTGCAGGTGGACATGATCCAACAAGCCTGAAGTTGATAGGAAACAAGTGACTGGACCACATGAAAAACATTAGCACCATCATCTTCTAACGTAAAAAGGAAGCACTGACTCAAGAACAACATTCGGATAAAAGCAATTTGCGGTCATCTCAATGGTTGATCTTCAGGGCTGGAAAACCTGTTTCTTTAGACCCTTCAAGACCCAAGATTACTTATCTACCAATGCTCAGCAACTACAGACTAATGCATAAATATCCCTCAAAAAAGACGCAGTTGATGACGTCTAAACGCACATCTTGACTCTCTCAAAAGTTTCCTTCTTCCCTTCAAAACCTTTCTTTTGAAAAAGCAGAAGGAAAAAACTTAGAGAAGCTGAAAAATTGATGCAGCATGTATGGGCCCAGCACAGGCAGAATGAATGTTTCACCCCAACCGGTTTCTTTTGATCGAGCCTTGAAAGGGAGACTTCTTCCCAAAGAACAAAGCGATGTCACGGCTCAGTGAATCAAAAAGTGGAAAACTGAAGATGTCAAATCGCAGACATCAGGACAATTGCATTCAGAAATGTGCCAGTTTTCATTAGCTCTGCAATCCTGTCCAGTCATATCAGGCCCGACAGAGAAATGGTACATGTACGGCTCTGCAAGGGAAGAGCAGAGCACATCTGGAGAAGCACATCTGCTGGGAAGAACCTCTTGGGAAGACGTCTGTGTGGCCAGCTGCAACCCGCGGCTTTCCTGCGTGCTAGAGAGACAAAGAACAACCGGGGGGAAGGAGCAACGTGCAGAGAGCAGAGGCGCTCCTGCCGCCGCGGGAGGGGAGCAGGAGGACCTCAGCTCACCCACAGTGGGTCTGTGCTGCTCCTACCACTGCTGATGGGAGATGGAGGTCTGCTGGTGGGGACCAGCCCCAGCTAGACAGGATGCTGGGCTGCACACTTAAGATGGCAAGTCATCCGGATAACTGTTCCAGCGAGATGAACGACACGAGGTGGGGTTTTGCAATTCAGAAAACGCTGGCACTTGAGACAGGCTCCTGCTTTTTCCTTCTGCTCTTCTTGTCCAACAAGATCCCTTCTTGTTTGACCTGAGAAACCTGCAATATTGCCAACCCCAAGGCGATCAAAAAAATCACAAGCTAGACTTACTACAACACCCCCACAACGGAGCTAGTTAAAAATCGTGAGTTAAAATGCACAGCATATCTGAAGCTTATTTTTAATTTATAT